ATGTTTGCTAATCCATAGATTGAGATGACGACATGTTATTTATGCATTTCTAACTTCTAGAACCTCCACTTGCCACTAAGTCAACATTAGACTTAGTTTAACCCATAGAGTATTGATTACTTAGTAAAACCAATCAAAACCAAAAATTAAGTCAAAAGTATTTTTTCTTAAAATTTAGATTTTTGTACAAGACAAAATAGAAGTGGTCATTCAAATCTTCTAGAACTTCTCTAGTAACTCCGCCAAGTATAAACATTATAGCTAAACATAGTTATAACTTGATAAACTTATTTATAACTAGCTAGACTTATTCATCATTATCTTAATTATGATTAACTCCTTGGTTATTTATGGTTTTATTTTGCACATATAACATTCGATCTTACAGGACAGAGATTTGCGGAGTAAGGTACGTGATGTTATTCTCATGAGCAATGTGTCACTTACATAAGCCCATTTGTCTCCTTGAGAAGATTGACCTTAACATGGTTGAGAAGAGGGTGGTGACATCTTCATTTAGTAAAGATATGACCACTACATATCGTGTCCAGCAGAACATCACATAGTCTCGTCTCAATGTTGATGGTAGTAGTGGGAGTCGTGGAGTTTAGACACAACATTCGTCATGTTATAGAGTGACAAATGTGCGGACACCATTGCCTTCATTTTCTGATCAGCAATAGGAACTAGCATGTTGGACATGTGAAGATGGTCATATGAAAAAGATTGTCTCCAAGAGAACTGGGGACGGAGTTCTCAAATTAGGCCTCAGCCAACACAGGTTGTGTGTGACAATTGTGCTCGAGTGTATCATCCTTGATAACATTGTTTTGTTCTTCATCCATAGTTAAAATTTGGTGATAGAGGTTGTGGCAAAGGTGATCTATGAGATCGAGGTGGTCGAGATGATAGAGAGGCCGGTGTCGGTGCCACTAAACGGCCAGTAGTGGGTGCTACTTCTACCACAGAGGCCGCTATGACTGCTTGGATTGAGTAGTTGGAGCAGAGCCTTCCTCTTATGGCTAGTTCTACAGCGGGAGCTTCCACTTCTCATGAAGGAGAGGACTTCTCCAATTTGGCTAGTGCAGTCCAAGTTAATGCATCGGTTGCAATAACGAGAGGTGATGCTCATGCTTCATAGCCACGCAATGCTACTGTAAAGTTGGATCCTAAAAGAGGTGAGGGTGGAAGGCAAGCTAGACTTCTCCAATCATTTTTATTGTCAGAGGTAGACATGACTTCATCTATGATTCTTGCACCACCTAATGATCTTATAATGATTACTAAGGCATGTACATCATATGTTATGATCACGGAGACACCAAATAGTGCAATGATGCGGATGATTACTTCAGTGATGAGATCTCTACTATGTTCAGCCACGGAGCTGATAGCCTCTGGGATTGATTTGGCTCGTGGATTTCATATAACAGTCACGTTGTGTGAACATGGAAATATCACTGCTATCAATGTTGAGATATGCAAGGAAACTGTTGGAGAGCAACCCTCAATGACTACATTGGGGGACAGGACGACTTGGTAGGCGGCAGCGTCAAGAATCGAATCATTACCAACCCGGCCAGCCATTGATCGTGAGAGTATTGTCCCCGGTGTGTGTATGGTAGACAACCGGAGTGGTTTTATTCGCTTGATGATATCTACCAGATTGGTGTATGTTATAGCCAGAGCTGGAAAAAACCTGATTTTTTTTGCCGAGGCAATTGGGTTTTAGGTTTAATATAATAAAACCCGATTGTAAGCAAAAAAAACCATGGTTTTATTCGGCTCGATGAGCGAGCGCCTGCTGGGAGGATTCATTGCTGGATTCATCGTCAACGTCGGACTCGTCGTGCACGTAGTCATAGAAGGCCGGCAAGTTGCTCTTGATGAACTTCAGTTTGTCGACGCTTCTAGGGTTGAGGCAGTTCCTCAGCTTTGAATGAATGAATCCAATGGTCGAGAAGTTTCTCTCAGAGGCGGCAGTCAACGTCGCCATACTGAAAAGTTTGATGGCCCAGATCGGGCCAGCCCTTGCCATCGACCAGCCAGTATTGCAATACGGTCTTGGCGCCATTGGCCAGCATCTTGAAACGCGTCAAGTCCTCCGCCTTCTCTTGTTCCGCCGCAATCACGAATTCGGTCCACTGAATGCCAATGGTCTACGCTCGTGTTTCATCAAATGAATCGCGGGGCTCGTCGTCTACAGGAAACTTAAACAAGACGTTCTTCACCTGTAAGCGGTTGCCCCTCGGCAGTCCCTCTTCGATAAACCGCGGATCCAGCATGTACGACAAATAGTGCGCATTGCCGTACATAAACTAGAATCGCGACGCGCTCTTCTTGCACAAGTACGCGAGCTCATGGTCGTCGATGATGCGGTCGCCAACAACTACGAGAACTTTTGGGGCAACTTGTGGAAATCCGGCAGCACCTCCAAGATCGGGACCTTGTCGGATTGGTACTTTACGATCAGGACGTCGATCGGCTCCAAAATCGCAATGGCCTTCTTCAATAGAGTGACAAAGTTCGAGTCGGTGATCGTGTCTTTGACATCTTGGCGCTCCTTTTTCTGGGCCGCCTTTCCTTTGATGAAATCGCGGACCCAGACGATCGCGTGCAGATGTTGTTTTGAAGCGAGCAAGGTTTTGCATGTCTGCTGAATCGTGCCTCAGCGCGTCTAACACGGGCAAACAAGAGCTCTCGCACCCGTGGTCTTCTGCATCTCTTGGAGCTACGCCTTGGCCACATGGTGATTGTGAAAGAACTTGACAACTTCCTTGCACTCGTTGATGACCATCAACATATCTTTGAACGGGTAGTCGACCGCATACGTCGGTTCGGTGCTGCCCGCCTTCTTGGTTTTTGTCGCACTGAAAATGTCCTTGACAAGGAGGTGTAGGCCGTGAGAGGTACAGCCCTGGAAGAAGCGGGACGGATAATTTGTCTTGAGATCTTCCCATGCCTTCTTGTTGGCGCTCGTGTTGTCAATCATCACGCCTGCGTATGTCGTGTCCTTGTACGTCGTGAACACGCGCTCAACGTCCTTGGCAATGAACTTGTGATCGTGTCCTTGTTGACCAGCCTGCACTACCTTCAGGTACAAGGAGCAATCCGGTGACACGGCCATGTAGTTCACAACTGCCTCGTTGTTGATGTTCGACCAGTCGTCTGTTGTGAGGCATGCAGTCGCGTTCTTCATGCGATGGTCGACCTTCGTTTTCAGATCCTGGTAACATTGGTCGAGGAGTGTGGTCGCCAGCTGCTTCCGATTCGGCAACAATCCATCATCAGGACAGAGAATCTTGATGGCCGACTTCAAATGCACATCTTTGATCTGCTGGAACAAGGTGCCTGTGGCGAAGTAATGCAACGCCATCTGCTTCTGAAACGCCTGCTTCATGGATCCGGTCACCTTCGGGAGTGCGAAGTACTTGATGAAACTCTGGATGCTGCTGCTTGCTTGGCTCTTGCCACGCTGAGAGTCAGCGGCCACCTCGTTGGTGGCTACACCTTTCTTGTTTCGTCTATACCAATCAGGATGTTCATCATCATTCAAGCCATTCATGAATGTGTGGAACTTGGTTTAAGAGTTGGGGTGCACCTTGGCGCTCTCGCTCTTCTTATGGTGATTAATCAGAGTCTTGCAGTACATGCATTTGGCACTCTGGGCATTTTGCGGAGATGCATCATCGGTGAACCAGTTCCAGACCGGGCTAGCAGAGCGACCGCATTTCCGTTCCAGCGCCAATACTTTCATCGCAATATCATCATCAAGGACGACCACTTCAATGTCCTCCATGGCGACCTGCGCGTCTTGCGGCTGAAGATCGAGAACGTCGTCGTTGAAGTTATCGATAGGCTTGTCAAACTAGCTTGGAGAAAACGACAATTGCAACATAGTAGTTAGTACGGCTAGAGGGTGCTAATCTTGCTAATATAATGACAATAGAAAATGTCTATTGGCGTTCTTGCAGTTGCAGGGATTGGCGGCCGGATCGTGCGTGAGTCACACATTAAAGCACTCATCGGGGAATAAAACCGAATAAAACCCGATTTTGGATCCTCGGAGGCTGTCGGATTTAATTAAAAAACCAAATAAAACCCGATAGTAAAATACTGTGTGGTGTCAGGTCTGAATACAGCCAGAGTTTAGCTTGACTCTAGTGCACAGCCCTTGATGTTGAACAAGGCAGCATGTATTAGTCTAGGAGTTAAGCGATCCGAGTTGGAGATTTCTCCATTCAAGATTCAGACATCACTAAGTGGTGCTAGTGATAGTTCTTACTTCATGAGCAAGACGAGCGTATCAGTGCAGTTTACACATAATGACGCACGTAATAGTTCACATATTGAAGTTCGTGTTGTGATCACATCGGTAGAATCATATCATGAGCTTGTTGGAGGAGCAGTCTTGTATACAATGGATTTTTAAATAGACTATTGGACGTAAACAACCGTATTGCCCTGGTTGGCAATCAAGGGATGGATGTATGACGGAGCTACCTCTACGATTGACTCTCATATTACAGGAGTATGACTTTCAGGTGCTACATAGACTCGGAATTATAAATCTTGAAGCCAATGGTTTGAGTCGAAACGCATGCACTAGCCAAAAGTATAATACTAATAATAGATGACCTAGTGAGGTTGATGAGGAGATAGTGCCTGGTTGGCATGCATCTGACTTCTTGTGTATGTTACGTCGAGACTCTTGTAAAAAATATGACTTGACATTTTACTCTAATCAAAGAATGGATAGTTAATCTTCAGATCTTGAGGTTGAAGATAATAGAGCTGATTCATTTTTGGTATCAAAACATAATAATAGTAGTAGTTTCACAAATTGACTATTTGATACTAATTCAATATTTCATCAAGTAACTCAATTGAAATTGTAGTCATAATTTCCAAGTTTTAGCACTTCCAACACCTCGATGCAAAAAGAGTGTGAACAAGTCTAAATTCTGAATGAATAGAAAATTTCTCGACAAGTTAGAACAAGACTACTTTCTCGGTAAAGTATTTGCAATGGAGCACAAATTTGGATGAAGTATGAAGAGATTTCTTATCAGACATATTTCTACGCCGCAATTTGATGATGGATTGAATGCTCAATATGTCCAGATACTAGAACTGGACGTTATGAATGATTATTTCAGTTTGAGATTGGAGCTCCCTACTTTAAATCGAGATTGGCTGTCAAAAAAGATTTTACGTGAATTCTAAACCTGATTTCATCAAGAAGAATGCGGTCTTCTATAGCCTGAACTTACTGTAACCGATTGAAGCTCTGATGCACACAAACTCGTGGTTCTAGGAGAACACTATCATTCTACGGAATAAAACATTTAGCCTTCTCTACAACTTGTCGGCCTTTGCCTGAAGACTGGAGATAAGATTGTTGAAACTCGTTTGGAAAGATGCCACTCCTTCAGCCTCCAATTGAGATCCGACATCGGCCCATCGAATGCCCAATGCCTCAACCGTGTCGTAAATCTTCTGTGCTTCTGGCAGATTTGCATCAATCGTCCTGGAAACAACTCCGTGATCAACGAATGCCTCCAAGGCGTTTAGTGGCATAGTGTTTACCTGGATTCCAAGAATGAAGTAGTTGTAAGTCAGTCGCCAGGTAAACAAACCAGAGCCTTCATGTGATCACGTCGTATCCTTCTATCCTATCGTTTAAACCCACCTAAACTGAATCCCATATCTTTAACTTATATCTACACAACATAAAACTAAAGCACAGGTGAAGCACTCGAAAACCAACAGTTCATATTCCGCTGATAACATATTCTAATGACTTCAATGCATACTAATGCAAAGGCTTAAGCTACTTTGCTTGTAGAAATTTAAAGGACGAGGGACTGGCATGACTTACAGTGTCCGGACCGACCAACGGAGCGATGTACAAAGTATCGGGATAAGCTGGATTCTTTACACCGGTAGAAGCCCAGAGCAATCGCTGCTTGTTAGCCCCTCGTTTTGCCAAAGCCTCCCACCTGGGACCGCTGAACTTGTCCTGGTAGAGCTTGAAAGCCAATGCAGCCTGGGCGTTCGCTGCCTGTGGCAATAAATATGAATATTAAGGACTTGGAACTTGAAGATAGTATTTAAGAAGGTTAAAAATAAAAGAAGCAAGGCTTTGGCTTCTCGAATTGCTGATGGTGCACACGGGCATGGGAAAAGGCAAACCGAAGGCTTGACTATCCACAAGATAACGGAATTTAAGCGCACATCCTACCTTCCCACGAAGGCCAAGCGCTTCCTCGGATCCGATCTTCTCCAGTCGCTTGTCAACGAGGACGTCGACACGACTCACGAAGAAAGATGCAACACTAGAGATTTTCGACAAATCCTCATTCTTAACTGCCTCAAGACCTTCCAAATAGGCGTTTATGACGGCTTCGTACCTTGCCAGAGAAAAAATGAGCTGCACAGACGGTGCAGTTCCTTTTAGCTGTAAAAATGCAGAATTCTGCCAGCACATTTGTGCATTCAGTGTGTTTAATCTAGCATAATGCAAATTGCACTGTCTGAACTTACAGTGACATTCACGCTGATTTCTTGAGAGATGACAGTTCTGACGGCGGGCACGCACTCGGCAGTGGCGGGAATCTTGATGTACAGATTAGGCCGATTGACTAGTTTGTACAATCGGTCAGCTGCTACGACGGTTCCATGTCCATCGTCAGCAAGTCCTGGTGAGACTTCCAACGACACAAAACCATCTCCACCCTTGCTTGCTTCATAAAGAGGCAAAAACAAATCACAGGCATCCTGAATATCTGTCACAGCAAGTCCCCAGAACACTTCCTCTACACCGTTTCCTTCGTTCATGAGTTGCCTGTTTCAAGTAACAACAACATGATCAATTGACAATTAAAATCCATATAGAACACCCGCGACTTGTGTCCTTACCGCGGGCTCATTCCAAACTAATTTCTAAATTTTAAGCAGCCAGTTTAATGGGCCGAAATCAAGCAGCTCAGCAATACAAAGCTTCTCTGACCTGAATTGGTCGTCGTACAGATCAGAAGACGTGATCGCCTTTTCAAAAATCTGTACCACCAGTGATCGGAATTCAAAACATGCCCGATGGGAGATCCTTTTGAATGGGATGGAAATGGATCAAAGAGCAATCTTTCACATTCCAGAAAACAAAAGGTATATTACTGCTGTGCATACCGTGGGGTTGCTGGTGACGCCACGAACACCACTATCAATAAGGGACCTCAAATCTGATACAGGTCTGCTGAGATTGTCATACCACGGACTCTGACCTTCTTTCTCATAGAGATCATGCAGAGCAGTTTTCTTCTCGACAGAAGACTTGGTTTCCAGCACCATACACCGGACTCTGCGAGACATATACGAGTAGGAAGTGTTGTTAAATCTATATAAAGTACCGAACGCAGCACCAGGAGAAAACTGTAATTGAAGACCTTATGATTCGCACTGGCACATTAATCAGGCCCGAACGTTCTAGAGTATGTCCTACGTGGGTTAAATTTTGTCGAAAGATGGCAATGTGATAATTTCGTACTAGATTATACAAGTAGCAAGTGATGATTCCTGATTGCTAAGTTAAACCGAAGATGAGTCATAAAAAAAATTGATAGCGGACCAGTGTGGGTAGATAACTCACATGCGCAAAAATGAAACTCTTACGCTTATCCACACGTTCAAAACGAGTAAAAGAAAACCCTCGCACTACATCCTCGTAGAAAGAAACATCTGTAATCCTTAAGGCTAAGAAATTTGCCCTTGCTTCAGGTCCTGACATTTGTACCTCAGAGCGCCAAGCGTGGCAGAGCGATCTCCGCAAGGTACAAAGACTGATGCTAACTTGGCCAAACTTCCCTGTTTCAGTTTTGTATTGTCTCCGAAAAAGCAAACTCTGCGTGTCTCCACATGTTGAGCCTGCGACGATCTCACCGCAGAAGTATTCAATGCAGCACTGCAGCCATGTCTTAAAGTAGTTGCCATCTTGACTTACACAGCAGAATCTACAGAAGGAAGTTCAAACAAGAGGATCCAATTACACAGCAGCAAGTAGTCAAGGGCGTGACTCTAAAGCGCAAAGTCTTACTGCATACTCTCAAGTTCTATGTGGCCTGCCATGGCCGCAATTCAGAAGCACCTATTTGCAACTGTCCATTGAGGAAGAATCAGCAAGATACATCCAGAGCTACGGCACAAGTTGTCGAAAGAAATTCAGTCCAATAAGCCACAAAGGCTCCTTGTCGCCCGTCAAGGTGAAGTTGGATCGACTAACTAAATCCATGTAATGGTTGTTGAATCTCTGACTGATCTACTTCTTTCTGTCTCGGTGATAAGAAACACCAGTACTGATCGACCCAACATCCAGCGTACCTCAGTTTTCTCAAGTAATTGTCAGCCTCGAGTGTCAGCTTCAGAACAGACAGTCGACCTTCTTCACTGTCTGAGAATATGACCGGAGGAACGAGTTTATAAGGCAGACAGGTCTAGGGGCTGCAACTTCAGAGAGGAGGAAGAGGAGCAAAAGCAGGCCTGTTCCAGTCATGGCTCGTGCTCTTTTTCCAGCCCTGTAACTTCATCTCGCTATCAAGGGCCGCCGTCTACAGGTATAGGTTGGCTTACTGTCGGCTATTCCTTTTGAGCAGCGGCGCAGGGTTTCAGACAAAAGCGTTTTCATCTCTGCTTGTAACCGTCCCAATCCGTAGCTAGAAAGCGTAGAAAGGCTAGGAAGATTGGTGGAGAGTAGAGTGGCGAAACTAGTCCATGAATTCACACCAACTGCGCCGTCTTTACCACTACACGGTGCCATTTGGGATCAAGGAGCACATGGACCGCCAATCTGAGTCTACGGGTTGAAACGACGGCTGAAAGTTGACCGGATCAGCAAACTGCGATCTCATTGGAAGAAGAAAGTCCACATATTTCGGTGGAGATAATTATGTCCAAGTATTCATACTCCTTCTATAGCAATGCAATTCGTACGTGAAGCGTTTCGTCTTTTAGATAGTAATGACATTTTCTCAATTCTGATATAGTGCTGGATTAAGCATACGACTGAAACATGTCGATTCCACTCTTCATTAAAAGCCGGTAGAACAGCTACGAATTTTTTGAAGGCTTCTCTTCTCGAAAACTATAGATCTAGGAAGCAGATTGTATGTATTCTATCCAATCTTGATATACATTGTCCTCTTCACCATGGTTATACTCGAAGATCGTGTCTGATCAGAGAGGTATTGAAGGTGGTTCATCTTCCAGCTTTTTCTCATTCCGTGTCTGAGATGATGGGCAATCGCATCTGTGAGATGCCGTTGCCCTCTTTCGGGCAACTTCCTTGGAGTTCGCAGCATGAGAAATATCCAGTTCCTCTGGACTTTGCTCTCCACTTCCGGCCCCGGGGCAAATGTGTGTCACGTACTAGACGGGTACGGCACGATGGTCATAAGCCAGAGCCACCAATGTCTCCAGACTGGACATCAGCAGTTGCATATCAAATCTGAAACCATGTCAGTCAAGTTTTTCTCCACGTACAGAACCAACAACAGTAGCCTTTCATGCTTGAAGTCCGCCGGGGCACCACATTGTCAAGGGACGCATAATTTGAGTCGGAACGAGGCGATCGTCAAGCGCTTGTCGTCACATCTGTGTGTCGTTTCAAAACTTTATCCAGAGTGAAGAATGGTTAAGTTCTTTTATTCTAATTAGTTGATTAATCTGGTTCTGCCGTAACGGTTTGAAGTTGCAAAGAAATCTCATCCCGAGGATCTATTCTTCACAGATTATCAAAATGTGCACTAATTGGAGATTTAGCAGCGAGTATCGAAGTTCCGCGTCCCACTTCACAGTACCCTCTTCAATATCGTCCCTTGCTTGTACATATAATGGTTCGTATGCTTCCGGGCGGATGAAAAACAATTCTGTATCAGCATAGTTCTCATAATCTGAAAAAGACCAGGATTCCTGGTATATTCCAGAGAAGTTTTATGATCGGCTTCTCCGAAGGTTTACGTACGCAGAGCTGCAACAAATGGTCACAGTTTTGATCTGTAAATTGAATGGATATCTTCTAGCAATCTCGCTGTGCTGTAGTTAGATCCTTAACCTGACATGATATTAATTAATGTACAATTGTGAGAAATGGATATCTTTCCAGTTCTCACCAGGACAAAAGGTACATGCCCTTTGTCAGGCCTTGGCTGAGCCTAGTAGTTCAAGGAGTTCAGATGACATTTCACTACGAGGGTACAACATCGAGCTTGCATCGTTTTGTTTTGTCATTGAAAAGCTTTCCCGAAAGTCCGCTTATATCTCTGGGCTATAATGCTGCTAGATCTATACAACATAGAGATTAAGTAGTATCTAGCAACTAGGCTAACGTATTAAAAAGTTCTGGTCATTCGACCAAGAATGATGGCTGGGCTCGAGACAAAAATAAATAAGTAGGCTTCATAGTTTATGGTACAGACCTGGTTGATAGTTTAGATAAAGATATTCTATAAGATAAAATTAATGAGTTTATTCGGAGTAGTGTTTGGGGTTAAAAGAAATGTGATTTCTTTTTGTAAATGAAACTCATAAAAACAAGACTTTTATGTATGAATGATGATGTGTGAGATGCACAAATTTCTATAGTGCATATGCTTGTGATAAAAGCAATGAATAAAACTGTGTAGAATGAGCTCCTTCATTCTGATGAAGAAAAATTTAGCGCCATTAGCGTATTAGGAGATAATTTAATGTCTTTCGAAACAGCATTTTTTGGAACGTATAGGGTGATATTTGCACAATCCCATTGGACATCATAATAATTGCAGAGATCAAAATAAATTGTCAAAGCATTTATCACATGAATGTGAAATTATGTATTTCCAGAGCACTTTGAAGATGTCCACAAGATAAAAATAACTCAATTAGATGAATAAGGCATCAAAATATCTAAAATGCAATTTTTTGAATCTAAAAACATTTGGTATTATGAAAAAAATAAAGACGTTCATTGAGATGCATTTTTGATGTCATCTAGTTTTGATATCAAGCTTGATAGGTACTTTAGGTGATCTATAATGCTGCTCAAAATTTTAAGAACTAAGCCTATATTATTTCAAAATCAACTGAGTTTCAACCATGCTTACAGAAATAAAAGCCAGAAAATTGAAAGCATCAGCATGCAAACATCTCAGAATTTGAAATGCGCAAGATTTTAGATGTTGAAGCACAATTCTGAAAGTCAAGTATCTAAAAAAATTTAAAATGCCAAAGAATAAGAGTGCCGAAGCATAAATTTGAAACTTAAAGACACAAAAGCTAAATTAGCAATTACATATATATTGCGTGATGTCAAAGTTAGATAATCCTTTTATGAATTATACATCACCTTATGAAGTTTTTAATATCAAGAAAAGACTTCATAATATCTCGTAAACTTTCTAGGATGAGAGGTTTACTTGATGGAACCTGCGAAACACAGATAGGTTAATGGACCCATCAAGTATTACTTTTCTCTATTGGACCCCAACGTTGTAGTAAGCTATGTGTGTTAGGCATGGGTACCATCATGTCATTTTCTCTTCTAGCCTTTCCGATTTTACTAGATTGCATTTAGCTTAAAAAATTGCATCAATGAACCTGCTTATCTAGCTTGCAGATTCATAATTAAGACATTGTGTAATATTTCAAGAGATGCATTTCATTATAATAGCACTATAAGTTACGATAGATTCAAAATCATGTGGAGATTGAATGATTTGTAGGTTTGATCGCGATATCTGATATCTTGGTGTATATACAAAATAAGGTGGAGTTGAATTGTTGCAGGTATAAGCATGAGATTGGTGTAACTGACGGCTGTTCACTAAAGCTATTTAATAGATGTTTCTTGTCTACACATAAATGTATGATTACAATTTGCTTAGATTTTGTCATTACAATAGTTTGATGGTGATCATAAGTGTATCAAGATAGATTAAGATATTATGAAGCTACTAAATTCTAACTATCGCTGGATTGAAAATATCAAAGTTTGGCTCTACAAACTAGATCTAAAAAATATATGAATAGTTACAAATTTTCATCTTGCATTCAATAATATAAAAACGTTTTCTAGTAAACTCGATAAAGATTTTTGTGAAAAAAATTATGGAATCTCGTTGAAATCGAATTGACTATTTTTCACACTACTCACGTTTATTTATTTATTTAAATGTATATTGGTTTGAATAAACTGGAAGATTCACTCAAAGTTGGTGTTTGGATTCCTAATTTCCATGGAAATAAAAATTTCACGCACATTCTATGAACTCTTGAAACAACTTACAATTTCCATGATGCAGCTTGAAATCAGATTAAAATATCGATCGGAATGTTCTTTTGCTCTATTATTGTATCAAAAACCCACTAAAATATAACTGTTGTAGGATAAAACCAACTTGATCTAAACCAATATATATCATCTTACAGAATTGAGCACGTCCAGTTTTCAACTGAAATGGTATGAACTCCAATCACGTAAAATGCAAATCAATTGCCTAAAAGTTTTAGCTTGGGATCTTATCAAAATGAGATTTGCAATAGTTTTATTCTATCAAAACCAATCATAGTAGTTGCAATCTCTTGACTTGAATCATAAAGGAGACATGTAGGGGTTTTTATAACCTTCCAAAATAAACGAAAAGGATAAGCATACTTGAAGAAAGTCTTTCAGTACTTAGTTAGCGCTAACTGGCCTTACCCCTAGCTTTTGTCTCCACATCTTGGTAAACAGAGGGTGAGCTCTCTGTTTACAAAGTTACATGTACGTATCCCAAGAGTCTCTACCAATCAAAGGTTCATAATCAATTTAAATGCATAGCTTGATTCAAAACTTCAGATTGTGATGACTAAAACAATGTAAATATTATTATGGTTACCTTATAAAAGCAGCTTGTTCTTTCTTCAGTGTCAGAGTTCACCAGCCGCTACAACTGATAATCCAATACAGACCCTAGTAGTATATCGTAACATATCGCACATGACATGATATGTCGACATAGTCCACTGCTTGGGAATGTAATCCTACATTCCGAACAATTTACAAGGTAATCTGGAGACTTCACTATCAGAATATAACAGTTTAGGATTTCCCAACTGTTTGATGTTACAAGTATATAATCTATGTTTGTGGACTTCTCAGATCCAATTATGTTTTTCTTCCTTACTTGCATCATTCATCTTTTCAAATGTGATGCAAACGATATGTTCGTTTCGCATTTATTATGCTGGAATTTATTAACACTTCCATATTATCCTTACTGAACTTGAAAAATTATATTTTATATTTTGCAAAATTTATATATACACTTGTGTACAGCCATTTATCCTCGATCAGAAAATCAACAACAGGTAAATTGAAACTTTTGCATATATTCTCAAGAAATTCGATGACCAATCTACATAAAAATCCGTTGGGTATAGGAAGGGGTGCACTTCATGGGTATAACAAGGCTGCTAACTTTAAACCCCATTTCAGAATGGGACTAAGTAATAAAGAGCAAATGGATGCCAACAACAACGAAAACTTCCTTTGCAAGTTCTTCCATGCAAGATCAAGCCATAAGTTTAACTCAACTGCCATAAACTTGTCACTAACAGCTCACAATGAGACAACATAGAACTTGCCCTGAAACAGATCAAGGTAATGTGGATTACAAGGAAAGTGAACCTCAAAATCAGAAAGCAAATCACAAGAAAATATCTTCTTCTTGACCGAATGATTATATTATGCTTTTTTTGGTAAACGTACCCTAAATCCAGATGGAGGACTTCGATATATACAGCGTTAATACATTTAACATCTCCCTGCGTGAATGGCTACTATACAAGATTTTACGTGAATTCTTGACCTCACAATCGTCAACAACGTTGATATGGTCTTCTATAGCCTGGACGTAAAGTTAACAACTGAAGCTCCCACAAACTTGTGAAAAGGTTTTCCCAACCCGTCTATACATCCAAAACAATCTATCCTCTTCTACAATTTATCAGCCTTTGCCTGAAGACTGGAAATAAGATTGTCAAAGCTCTTTTCGAAAGATGCCACTCCTTCAACTTCCAACTGGGATCCAACATCAGCCCACAGAATGCCCAGTTCTTCAACCTTGTCGTAGATTTGTTTTGCTTCTCCTAAGTTTGCATCAATTGTTCTTGAAACAGTTCCGTGATCCACAAAAGCCTCCAAGGCGTTAAGAGGCATAGTGTTCACCTGTGTTACATGTACTTTGATTTCAGTACGTACGCATGATGAAGATTAAAACATCTCTCTCATAATATGAAACCATCTATCAAAGTTAGTAGACCTTACGCAAAGAAATAATTACAGCCTAAGGGCTTCACACAGTAAGTTCAATTAAAAAACAAAAAGGTAACACGCAAACAGCTCTATTGCATACCAATCATTCACGGGGATGCAAAGAGTAAAATGAGGTGTCTTGACTTACAGTGTCAGGCCCGACCAGGGGAGCGATGTACAAAACATCAGAATAGGCTGGGTTCTTTACACCCGTAGAAGCCCACAATAGTCGCTGCTTGTTAGCACCTCGCTTTGCCAAAGCCTCCCAACGAGGACCACTGAACTTTTCCTGGTAAAGCTTAAATGCTAATGCAGCCTGCGCATTAGCTGCCTGTTCCAAGAATGACATGTGATAGTATTCAGCTTCAGCAAGAATATGGACACTTGATAATGTGGGATCACTACATGGGGAAAAAAACAGTCTTACAGCTGACTCTGCACATCGACATAAGCAAACTACAGTCTCTTTTCTTGAGGAGAAAAGATGGAACAATAAGTTATTACCTTCCCACGAAGTGCAAGCGCCTCCTCAGATCCAATCTTTTCCAATCGCTTGTCAACTAGTACGTCGACTCGACTCACGAAGAAAGACGCAACACTGGATACTTTCGACAAATCATCATTCTTAATAGCCTCTAAGCCTTCCAAATAGGCATCAATGACAGCCTCATATCTTGCCAAAGAGAAAATGAGCTGCAAAGACGAGGACAGCCAACAATGTAAAATAAGTTATACTTCTTTCTATTGAAATTTCTACGTCCCCCTAACATATGGATTTCTAATTATGAGCAAATTTCTATCGGAAAAAACTCAAGTCTCCTTTGAGCAAAATATGCTAGCCTGCGAACATTGTTATTGTTTTAGACAGGGCAGATTAATAGAGATACAACACAAGCCTCAGCTTTAAGAATCCCACAGGAGTCCAGTTATGACCATGAAAGAGCATATGGACATTAAAAAGGAAAGAAAATGCAGGGTTCACAAGTTTACCACATGCAATATACAGTTGTGCCGGAAGGGATTATAATGGCAAGACCAGAGAAACATGCATAATACATAAATGAAGTAAACAACGAGAAGCAACAAACAGAGGCAGCACAAAACGTAAGCAAGATAAATTTACTGAGATGTGCCATTAAGTATGTCCCATTCTAGGAAGGGAATGCTCTATAGACTAATCTGTTCAAGCGTAGAGAAATCCAGACACCATCAACAGCAGTAAAATGGCGACATCAAGAGAACACCGCATCGAACTCGTAGGCGCCTTTGAACTACTTTTCTATCAGAATATTGCTTCCGGGTGTCTGTCACGTTGCATCAAAAAGAGGTTGCTAGGATGAAAACGGAACAGAAGAATTATAAACAATAACCAGCAGATACGGTCAAAGTCAGCTAACTACGGACACAGAGCAGCAGTAAAATATGTCGGCAGTTCTCCGCTAAAAAACAGAGACCATATAAGAAACACATCTCAGAGATATTTGATCAGCAGGAGCACTAAGATGAAGAGAAGGGTTAAGCAGAAAAGGTCGGTATGCTGAGAGGTGACGTTCCGTGTATAGCATGTGATAAGCTAGAGGGCTTAACAAGTGAGATAAAACAAAACCGCCTATGTGGTCAACTACAAATTGACTTGAAATCATGACTTGAAAGTATGCACATCGTAGAAGCCACGCATGTAAGTACTGCAAAAAGATAAAGCTTTTGACGAAACTTAAACATTACAAAAAAGGAAATCCATCATATGTAAAGTTTAAGCCGCCACGGAAATTGAGATCCAGGACCAATCATTTTCACCCACAAATGAAAGGAAAGCATTATAAATAAGACTTACAAGATTGTATACTATGTGTAGAAGAGATGGTAAAGCATCAACGGCAACATCATTACAAGCACATACAGAAGAGAACGAATGAAATGAAAGTATATCAAATCACACTAAGATTTAGTTGCTCTTTCAGAATTTTTCCAATTCGATTTCTTAACAAACAAGATCTGAATTGAGGGAGTCATCTACGGTACAGGAGTCTGAACTTACAGTTACATTCACACTGATTTCTTGAGAGATCACGCTTTTGACAGCGGGCACACATTCAGCAGTGGCGGGGATCTTGATGTACAAATTAGGCCGATTCACCAGTTTGTGCAAACGGTTGGCTGCTGCAACAGTTCCCTCTCCATCCTGCGCAAGTCTTGGTGACACTTCCAATGAAACAAAACCATCTCCACCCTTGCTCTCCTCGTACAAAGCTAAAAACAAGTCACAAGCATCCTGAATATCTGTCACGGCAAGTCCCCAGAAGACTTCCTCGACTCCATTTCCTTCCTTCATGAGTTGCCTGTTTCAAAAACCCACGATGAGGTTCGTGCATCAGTGCGATGAGGAATTATTTTTTAAATTATTAGTATATCGAACAACAACTGCTCTGCTCTTAAGGTGCAGAATTTGCATATGTTGATATTTGTGATCATGCCGAACACATCACTAAAATGAAAATAGGTATACAGTTATTTTTTAAAAAATGGAATAGCTTGTTCATCTCGAAGAGATTTACGTAGAATTGTAATGATAAAACAGTAAAGAGACATCACCTGAACTGGTCGTCGTAAAGATCAGAAGACGTGATAGCCTTTTCGAAAATCTACATCCACCAGTGGTATGCTGTTAAAAGAAGCGCCCAAAATATATAACTAAAAGACAAAGCAAAGAACTTCCATATTGCAGACAAGATTTCATGAAATTGAATAGGAGTTCACACCGTGGGATTGCTGGTGACGCCACGAACACCATTGTCAATGAGGGATTTCAGAGCGACCACAGGGCGACTAAGATTGTCGTACCACGGGCTTTGTCCTTCCTTCTCAAAGAGGTCATGTAGTGTAGTTTTCTTCTCAACAGAAGGCTTGGTTTCCAGTACCATACAATTGATTCTGCATGAGTTATACAAGGAGGCCTTATTATTACATAACTGCATGAAGCCTGCACGAACTATCATACAATGTGATCATAAACAACCTCTCACGATTCAGCCATGGACTTCCTGTAATAAAGAAGTTTCCAATCTCAATGGCAGTAAGGTTTATTTGCACCGGATTACATCTTCTGATTATTCCTGAATTTAGACCTGAAGTGCTAAATTTTGAATCAACTTGCAATTGACTTCTTGCTTGACTTTGCTCCTGCTCGCGACTGTGGTGTGCAGGTGGATACTCCCAATGCGTTCTAATTTCTTGGCGGGAGATGTAAGAAAGTAACGAACCTCTCTTGGGAAATGAAAATCGTGTGTGATATTAATGAGAACAAATAATCTAAAATATGAATGGGCAGGACGTTTTGAACACCAAGACACAATTATCGCACAAATTTATCCAGTACGTTTGTAAGATAATTCAGTAACTTAATATTTTAATCACCAGCCAGGTGGAGACTTGCAACTGTACTAGAAGTTTTCACTAGGATTTCCGGCGAGACGAACAGGAGCACCTAAAAGTGAGTAAGACATTGATTGATGAAAGTGGCATGGGAAAGGCGTCAATCAAAGTCGTGATATCCATACCTCAGAGAACCAAACGTGACAGAACGCTGGCGACAAGGTTCAAAGATCGAGGCTAATTTGGCCGAGCTTCCCTGCCTCAATCGCGAATTGTCTCCAAGGAAACTAATTCGACTTCTTTCAGCATTTTTCGCTTCTGACGACCGCACGGAAGTAATATTCACAGCACTGATGCAGCCGTGTCTTAATGTAGTCGCCATCTTGTTCAAACCTCCAAACCTGAGCTCCACCTGCATACAAGATAAACTTTAAACAAATGATTACAATTACATCCCAGAGCTTTTCACGAAACGGATTCATGCTATTCACTCGATCGTCGACTTCGCAGCATCCAGCTGCACTGTTTTGCCAATTTAGAGTTGCAATGCTGGATAGATGCTAACCAATTTCAAGAAGCAAAATTCAGAAGCACCGATCGCAACATTCTATAGAAGCCTCAACGACAGAGTCACTTCTCAAGATACCGTGGAAAGGGAGATCAACCTCCAAGGCGTCAATACAGGCTTCAATCGAGCTGACGAACTAGCGACCAACTCAACGAGCTTGTGGGCGATCTCATACACGATGCTCGAGATAAACGTGGCTGCGCAACAGGGATCACCGAGACTAACAGACAGACCGGAGCAAACTCAAGTTCAGCGCACCTGTTGTCAGCGATCGAAGTTGTTACCGCCGAGCTCACCAAGCTCAGCTTCAATCCAGACAGACAACCGATCCCCGAGCTGCTCTCCACGCTGCGAATATGACCAAAAGCCCCAGTTTTTAAAGAGCAGAAGGTCCTGCGGGACGACGAGGAGCAGGAGGAAAGTCACGCCTTCCTTACGCACGCCCCATGCTCTTTTATGTCAGGCCCGCGCAGGCCCGAGCACCCGCGCCCGCCAAACGCCACCCTGAGCTCGCCTGCCAGGGCCACCTTCTACCTGTCCGCGAGCCCTGTCCTGTCAGCAGCGTCGCATTGAAGCGTTCAGACAAAAGGCCGCTATCTGGACGTTGGGTCAAGTCGTTGTGAGCGGCGGCGGGGCTGACCTTATCGGTTGCACGAGGAGTCAACCTCCACTCCACCAACTTGTTCAGACCGGCCTTGTTCGAACTTGACCCGCAGTTGGCAGTGGATCGCTTGTGACGTGGCGGTGGCCGGTGATGATGTGTTGGATAGCGAGGTCTTGCAAATGACCCAGAGCACACACAGGAGGGATGCTGGATCGTGTAGTCCATCATCATTACCATGTTCGCGACATCTCGACATGGATTCTCGCCCAGGTGGACTAGTTTCGCACACTTGCCTTTTACTTCTCAAGGCAGCGTTTTCGACATTCCCATATTCTCGACGGAATCTTGTCGATGACTCCGTGCAAATAACAGAACTCCGCTGCGTGAAAAAAAACTCATGTTTTCCGTATATTTTTTCACCTCCCTAAAATTCTTATTTAGAATTATTGAGAATGCATAAGCCGCTTAAAAAGTGAATTTTACCGTCATACTTCAGTTTAAATACGACTAAAGATCTTGAATATCTACTTATCCAAAAATCGTGTGTAAATTTATATTTGTGTCATTATTATAATTGTATGAAATTCTTTATTTCTTTGTAATATTATAAATTGAAATTTATGATGAGAAAGATAAGTAACGATAACACTTTCTATCCACAAGGTTATATTTTCTCTAAATGGGCTCGTCAGTTTTTCTTATATAAACATACAAAACTTAGTCAAAATGCAAAACAAATGGGAGGAATTACGACTTTTGCTTTATTGACTAAATAAATTCTCTGATCAAGATACTGTATATTCTCGCTGGCATTTACAACCAATTACAGATTTATAAAACATACAGGCGACAGACAAAATAATTTTCTATATACATCAATGTCCATTCATAGCTAATGATGGCTCATATATTTTAATCAGTTAGATGAGCGCAGAGATCACATTATACTTTTTTATAAATCTCAAATGAGACCATTAAGAAAAACTGTTAAATCTTCTATGTTGTATATCATTCAATTTAATGACTTTTGAGATGAAGTACAATGTAACAAAGACACTATATTTGATTGAATGTTTGAATATTGTGCATTTGTAAAGTATTGATAAGTTTTTATTTCAAAAAATCTATTGTTTTGTTGATTTCACTTCATATTCCTGTAATGTCAGTATTATATTCTCTTCCCCCATAATCTTCACTAGTGACTTTAATGATAAACATTTATCAATTTTTTTTGTGTAACTTAAACATGAATTTTGCTTGTGTTTTTAAACTATTAAATAAGAATTATGTTAGATTAAGTCAAAATTTTCAAAAAGTTATTCTTTTTGAATGTGATATGAAAATTATAAAAAGAATAATTTATCACAAATAACTGTGCAATATTCATTGAGAAATATCAATGTAATATTTTATTTTTTTTATGAATATTTTTTTTGATTCAAATTTTTCTAAAAATATTCAAATATTTTATTTGACTTATTATTTTATGAATTATGTTTATTATATGAAAAAAAATATTTTATAACCCCAAAAAATTTCATAAATCCGAATGAAATTTTTCAATATAAAATAACAATATTGAAATACTTTTTATATCATAAAATTTTGAATTCAAAAATTAATGAAATCAACTAGAAAACAATAGTCCATAATAGAATATGACATATATATCATAATTATTAAAATTAAAAAAATTTCTCATTATATTCCTAACTAAAATGATAAAAAAAAATTCATAAAAAAAAATTATTGTGTTTGAATATTCTTGGCCAAATTTCAAATTTTAGATATATTTATATGCTTAACTTTTGAGAAAAAAATTGATGAAATTTTTGCATAATATTGGTGTTAGTTTTATTTAAAAAGTAATTTTGTTACGAATTCATTACTATAACACAAAACTTATAATAGAAATGCTCAAGATTAGACCAAAATACAAACTATCATAACTTTATTGAACTTTCAAATTGCACAAAGATCATCATTTTTTGTAGAAAAAGTTGTTTCAAAAATTATGTAACGTTCATATCAAAAACTGATTGCAATAATTAGCTCTGAATCTGAATATATTTAATGCTCATATGAAAGTTATCAAAAAAACCCAAATTATATAGCAATAGTAAATTTGACACTACCAGTTTTTGTAATGATCACAGTTTTTGTAATGCATCTTGCTGCTCACATGCTAATTCCATAGAGATCTTTGTCTAAAAATATTACTCAGAGCAGTTTTGCTTAATTCATTCCAAGCATAGTATCCTTGTGTAATCAATATTGAAATCAATAATATAGCCATCAATGTAAATTACAAGATAAATAATATATATTTTATTCATTTTGGTAAAATTTTATCATAAAAATAAAACCTTTCTTGAATTTAAAAATTTGAATGATTTATGGAAAAAATTGTGTGTGCAAAAGATTCCGCAAGATTAGCCGTTAAACCATTAGAGTTGTCTAGTTTTTTTGTGCATTACATCTTCTTCTTACTTGACATTCACACTTATTTCAAGCGAACTATTTCTTCAATCTCATGGAAGTTTATAATGAAAAAAATAAGATAGATTTATTCTTCAATCTCATTCAAGTTCAGAATGACAAGAAGAGTTTGAGATTAATTTTTTAAAATTTCTTACAAGACTGTAAAAGACTTCAAGTTCATATCATTTAGATTGAACTAAACGCAAGATTCTCATTTTATTTTTGAATCAAAAATGTTTCTTGCTTGCAAGAATCTTGATAAAAACTATATTGCTTCTAGCGCATTGGTCATTTATAATAAAATCCATTGCAAGTTAAAAATCAATCAAATCAAAATTATCGATATTGTATAAAAATTGTATTTATTCAACAAAGTTTTTAACAATGCGAAGAAATCAAAGTAAAATGAAGATGTTAGATAGCTTGTGTGTTGAAATCTTGATATCAACCAAATTTTTTGATGACTAGATCTATTGTTACTTATATAGAAGTCTAAAAAGTAGAGTATAGTTTGAAAATAAAGTCAAAGACAATAAAAAAAGTAATATCATTAAATAGATGCTACCAAATGAATGATTAGTCATTATGAACTTGTAATGATGTGCAAGTCCACATCAAATATTGTTGCAAGAAAAAAATCAAAATTAAGCAAGATTTTTATAGATTTGTGTTGTTTCATGTTGGAAATGTGAGAAAAAATTACTTGATAGAACCTTTGCGGAAGGTAAAGCACTTGCTAAAATCTAGCAGGATTCATTTTAAATGATGGAAATTTCTCCTACAGACTTTGTAACCCGCTGTCATTTATGTTAGAATACGAGTTTTTGTGAGTCGCTAAGAAAAATTTAAAAATAAGAAACTCAAAAATGCTTCTAGACAATGCCCATAATGCTAGATTGAAAGAGGTGAAAATCTTCAAGTGCATCAAAAATCATTCAAAGAGTTGTTGGAAATAAGAATTTCACAAATAGTTTGTGCGTGATAATCATTGTTCTCATGACTTAAGATGCGGAAGGGCCATTCATTATGAGTAAGTGCCATTTGTTATGAGTCGTATTAATTGATGCACGGATGGATGTCTTATCGTCATTTTTTTTTTCCTTCTTCAACTCTGCTAATGCGAGATAGTTTTGTTAGCATTTGAATACTGAAATTGGATATATATGTCTATCATTCTTGGATAAAGAATCTTTTTTGAAGTCATTTTTGAGCATGCCAAGAAGTTGGTGCACTTGCAGCCAAGTTTCAAGATCAAGTTTTTTGCGTAGGTAATCATCTTTAACTTGTTGTAAGTTACTACTATATTATCGAGTTACAAGATTTTGTACTGAAATATGGGTGACGATGGACTACAAGCTGTAGGGGATTTCATTGCTAACAATGTTATTATGAATGTAAGAAATTATGTTGGGTCCGAGCAAGTGTTTTGCGTTTCACTGGATATCATTAAATAATTTTTTTGAAGTATGATAATAACACCTTAGATACATACATCGTGAAATGATGAGATTTGATTAATATCAGGATGCTTATTGTTATTTTAATATGTCAAACTATATCATATTTTTATAACAAGTATTACAATTTATTCAATTTTGAACTAGTATTAATGGCGGATAAAGAATGGTCCAAAAATGACTTTAGAATTTCCACACTTGAATGCTAAAGGAAGAAGAAAGTAAGTCATGAAAATTAAAGAGATACATTCTACACGACCAAAGGAACACAGTCTTAAGAAAAAAGGACAAAGATCTAATAGACTAAGATCGTATATACTTTTGACCCAAAATTGCTTTAGCCATTTGTTTTTTAGTACAATATTTAAAAGTGTGGTGTACGATCAAGCAAAAATCTCTTGATCCTTCCAAGGAAATGCTAAAAAGACTATTACTGAGATTTTTTGTATTGTAATCTTATGATCTGAATATCATCAATTATCATCATACAGTTAATTTTTTTTATTTAGCTTGTTATATTAGAAACATCATTAGTTACCGTACTAGTGCTCTTGGCACTAGCTAGGGGTTAATTTTTGGAGTCTATGGCCTTGTTTGTGATTTTTTTTGCTTGTATTGTGTTTTTTTTAGCTTTTTGACCCTTTGGTTTCTCCGGACTTTATATATTACCATATATCATTCATCATATCAAAAGATTAAAAAAAACAAACATTATTTTTTTAGATTTTTACTTTTTTAGAAATATTTGGAATAATATTATAAAATAAAAAATATTGGATTATGAAGTAATTTTTTTATGCTAAAATTTGAAATGTTTACTTTATTTTTGAAATATCTATAATTTCTAACACAAATATCATGAACACATTGAAGTAAAATTTGTTGAATGAGTTTAGTAAAACAAGATTCTATTTACATTGAACTTTTAATTCTAATGATATGATGTTAAAATGATTAAGTTTAACTTTTCTTCTTATACCTATATTGGCAAAGATCTTTTTTTTTGGTGATATGACATAAGTACAACCTCTGAAATTATTTCCAAATTTTATCTCCACTTTAAGAAACTTACAAAAGATGTCATAATTACAAACATGATGATTAATAAAATATTAAATTTGTAGCAATTTCTCCTAAGACATCACATCTATGCATCAAACTTTAATGTTGAAGCATAATGTATCATAAATGGTAACAAATTTATCTCAACTACAATCACGATATGAACTCAAAATATTGTTTGTTGCAATAAGAGTGTAATTTTGTCCAATGAGGGGATTCTATTATTAGGTTTTTTTTGTTTGTATATGACAAAACATATACATAATCATATCTGATATGAAAAACTATTTGCAAATGAGCATAGATTTTCATGTTGTGATTTATGAAAAGATTTCATTCAAGATCACTATAGATTCTTGTGTGGTATACATGACATATATTACACACATGATTTGGATTTCCAGATTTTTATATTTACTCAAGGATAAATCTAGAATTGTGGAATATATGTGCAAAGGATTATCATATATTGATGAGGAAAGTCAAGCCATGAGCTTTATACAAGTCAAAAAATACTGGCATTGTGAAAGTCATGGAAAGTCATAGATGGTAGGCTAGTACATGAACTTCATGAAGTGACATAGATTATGAATCATGAAACATAAGAAAAATCACATGAAATTCAGAGTTGCGACCACACATGACATTCATTGTTCAGCTTTTTTTCTACCAATATGATTGGTCCAAGAGGGACTTTCTATCAAAAGCCAAGACTGATACATTCTCACATTAAATTTTTTGGATTTATTAAGATGTTGCACACAATTGTTGAAGTCTGAAGATTGTATTGATCTATTTTTTTATATGGATCAAGGTTGTATATCACTACAAATCTTTATGATGTATCTACAACTAGCTTCTTTTGAGATTTTCAAGCTCATCTCATGGATTTCAGTATGAGATCGGAGAGAGATTTGAGTTTAGTCATCATATACTATGCATTTATTCTCTAGTTTTGATATAGAGGAGATATGTCCAATAACACTAGAAATCTCTGAAGGGAAGAAAATTTTGCAGAATTTAACATGCTATTTATCCGTTGGCACGAGGAACTAGTCTAATTAAAATTGTTTTCATGTCGATTGATGTGAAGATTTTAGTGAAAGTGGAGCAATGTTGCTTATTCTATGAGCCCAAAATGTGACTAAAGTGCAAGCATTGTTTGAAATTTTATAGTTTTAATGTAGTTATGTTCAAAACCTTTCTCTTATCTTCAAAGCCCAAACAAAGTGACTCTTGATTGTGTGTGGAGATAAAAAAGAGAGAGGTTTATTACATTTATACGTTTTTCTTCATTACGTTGAACTTCTCTATGTAACATTGATTCCAATAATTCCTCGATGCGTTTATCAACTCACAATTTTGAATTTAATAATTGCAACAAACTTAGTTTTCAATGATCTATATGGTTTATAAAACTGAAAATCTAATTATTCTAGATGAATTATGATCCATGCTTAAATTGAGTAACTTTTAAACCATCTTATTATACTTGATCACTGACAAATTGGTCACTAAAACAAAAGCAAAAGAAAAATGTTTTATGTCTTAGTCAAAGATATGATAACTGAACATGGAATATCTCTCCTGCACATATCCTAGGCAGTTCACATGTTGTATTTGGGAAAACAAATTGAGAATTGCAACAACATGCAGCAAGAGATACACCCATAACTCGAAATATACAATATGACATTAAACGAATGATACATCACCAGACCACTTTAAATGTGGCGATTTGGTTTGAATAGCCACAAATAGCCACGTATAACTTTTGCGCGGCGCCACTAATAAAATCTGTTAGATCGAGTCGCTCGAGAGTCATTCTTTCGCATTCTGTTATACTATCAATGGCTGCCAACCGTCAAACACATTATAAAACGGAGCATTCACTTAAATTCGGTGTCAAAGTCTTTCTCATTTTGTTATACTTTCAATGGCTGCCAAGCGTCAAACACTTTATAAAACAGAGTATTCTCTTGAATTCGGTGTCAAAGTCTGTGAGCGTGATGCTGTCTTGAATGTTATAGTATCCGCGTCTTGTCTTTTCTCCATTCACTTTGGTCGTGAAGAGCAAATCGGCGCGAAACAAAGCTGCACAGTAAATATTATGTACTTCAATAAGCCCTTGCGTGCCGACACGTACCGGAGGCACATGGTGTCACATCATCCAGGGCGCTGGAAAGAGTACAGTGAGCTGACCCCTACTGAAAAAACTGTTTTCTTTGACGACAATGCTCATGTGATTCACCGCAACACTATCAAATCACATTTTTTTGGTGCTCAAGTTCCTCTTCACTTGTTTGTGAACAAGCCTATTGTTGATGTTATCATCAGAGAGATGCTCTTCCATCTTAATGATTCGAACGATGAGATTACGAAGGAGCATGCTCTTAACATTTTTGAAGATGTGATCAATCGTTTAGAAGCTAATGCTATAGCTGACGATGATAATGACTTCGTCGCCGATAGATATCGAATCGACTTGAAGAATCCCGCTCAATTTAATCTGATTGCTGATTACCTCAGCGTCAGCGCTTCCTTTCGAATGACCTCAAGAATTCTTATGATGACGAAGGAGCGCACTGGATTGACCTCTATTGGCTCTACATCTGAAGGTAAGGTGACTAGCTACGCTCACTTTATTTGTGCGCTGAATCTTCAAACGCTGCTCGAGCTGCTTTCTCAAGTGTGGACTTTTTTGATCGCAATGGATATGTCTACTCACATGGCAACCTCCTATTTGGACATCCGAATCCGTTTGCACTGAAAGGTGTCATTTTGAACTTTCATTTGATGGCGATCCCAATGTTCAGCTGCCATACTGGTGAACAGATTTTTTTGCCCGCTTGTAGAACTCTTGATATTCTCGCTCTTGTTGGAAACATATGATCATCTCCATCTCTACTGTTGGAGAGCGCAAAATGACGGATCGTGTTCAGGGCGTCGCAACTCGCTTCCAACAAGCTGCTCTTCCGGGCTTCTACCGTCTTTGGTGTGGTTTACATCAGCTTGACATCAAGCTTCAGGCTTTCTTCGCGGCTTTGATGGACGAACAATTCTACTCAGATCTCACTAGCTTAATCTCATATTTGAAGCGGCAGCAGAATCTCATACTTGATATGCAGACCAAGGCCAAGACAGTTGCAAACACTCGATGGAAATCCATGAGCAAAGTCTCAGGCTGGTTCAAGGTTCACTGTGTCGCTATGCATGTTTATCTTGACCTGAAAAAGCCTGCGTGTGCCTCAAATCCAGCTTGGTGGATTGTCATCATGTTCATTGAGAAACTTTCAGCTGAGGCGACACTTACCTTTCGGAGCCTTGAAGGGCTTACATCTTTGGTATCTCAACAACGTGAGGGTATACTGAATTTGAATTCGACATATGCACGTTTACTCAAAGCTTCTGGACCTCTATCTGCTGAAGATGCTAACGCAATCGACCTTGAAATGAAGTACTTTCGGATGATAGTCAGTTTTTATTGAAGCTAACAGATATGCAAGCAATGCTCGATGACCTCGGTAGTTTTGTGCTAGATCGAATTCAAGAAGCTGGAGTTGAGGTAATGGCTGAGGTTATGAAGGATTTTGCGACTTGTTCAGTGAATCTCATTGCCGACGTCATTACAATTATCGTTGAGCTGGATTACTCGAACGAAGCTGCCTCTGAAATGCCTCCAGTGCTTCCGCATCAACTTGTGGCGCTACGTGGTCGTGAGTTTGCTCAGGTCGAACTCAGTCACCTCGTTTGAAATGTCGATGGTTTTAGACTGATGTGGATCTTGTTGAACAAGAGCTACAAGCGACTTATCAACGAGAGAGAGCTTTTAAATCAGTGATTGATTAGTGTGATCACCCGACTTCATTTGAAGACGGATGAATTAGAATGCAAGGGCGGTTTTCTAACTTGCATGAGTTTTGTGGTGGGCTAGAAACCGCATTTCCTGGCACCTCTAATGTGGAGAGCGACTTCTCAATAGTAAAGTGAGTATCTTTGACTCACTTCTCGCTCGAGGGAATTCTACCTGCGAAACAGTTCAGTAGAATGCAAGCCATTAAGTTCAATTAGCCATCATAAACCACTGCAAAACACAAACTAGCTCCATGTCATGTCATCTTTAATTTTGGATAGTTTGTATGGGAGCCACAACCTGCCACATTTAACATTTTTGACAACCCAGAAATAGCTTATTTCTGGCCTGTACATTACTGATCCTTTCTACTGACTTGGGGTAAATCATCGAGTCACACGAAGGCATCCCATGCTGAACTTCAAACCCCTCCCCGCGTTCCTTAATGTTGCGGACTTGTTTCGTTTACCGACTCTACCGTCTGTAGTACGGAAGTAGACTGTTGGCACTCTGGGATTTAAATACAACAGAATCTGAATTTCCGTTCGTACGTAGGAAATAAAAGAGTTCTGAAAGGGATGCGTGCCGTCATGCCTGGCTTCGGAAGCAGAGAGCCAAGAGATATCTCTAGGATGAGCGTGTGTTTCTACGTCACGCTCGGATGATAGAAACAGCTCGTAGCCTCGTCTTTATATCCTCCTTCTTCTTCGCGGCTCTTTGGATTGTGACTGGATTCGTCCAGTTTTCTCCTCACTCTTTAAGCCGAGAGACATCTGGAGATCTGAAACCTTTCAGCGTCGTTGGTGTTTCTTCGCAAGCAAGCTGTCTGATAGTTGTCTGTTTATGAGTGGGAAAGTAAATTGATTTCAGCTGCAGACTGCTCAAACTTGCAAACTTCTTCAATCGGTAGGATCGTTTTGCCTTTTGGAAAGTGGTGTTAGCGATTTGTTTGAGACAGCGTGTATGCAATTGGAAATCTCTGTACGGTTTTGGGATTTTATAGTTCTACGTTTGGTCCACATAGTGTATGTAGCTTCGCTTGTCATGTCGATCCTTCATGTCTAGATGCAGATACTCGTCTTTTCGCTGGATATGTATTTTCTTGAACTAATTCAAGGGAGAAATGCCGAAGGACTCAGACTGTAGGTACATCCTGCAGTGGCAACTCTCGGTATGCGTTATTTCATGAACATGCTCGCTCAGGTCCTGAAATGTATAACAATCTTGTCATGAATATGACATTATCTTAAACGCAAGAATTAGTACATGCACCATATGGGAAATAAAGGAAATAAATTATCCAGGAATCTGCCTTGTCGGTGCTTCAGAGGCTTTTACTCCTCGGAGTTCGGTAGAACATGGCAATACGAAGTTCTTCTCAAGGGTCGCGGTCTTGTGCCAACTACGGCACTGACAGTATCTTGGACAACAGTGGATAGTTCATTGAGGATCTCCTTGGACACCGTCTCCAGATTGCAGACCTTTGACCACAGTTAGGGTCCGGATCATAGTAATTAATCTTCCCACTGAATATCTTCCAAATACAGTTGATTTCGATATAGCTCTACTGATCTTCTTCGCTGAAGTTCCTAAGGAGTCACCTTTGAACTCAGCGTCAATAGAATGTAACTGTAATATCTCTTTAAATGCTTCACCGCTGCAGTCCAAACGTTACTTGCTGTCAGAGTTTCGAGTCAGAGTGATTGAAAACAATCCTTCTACTGATTCTAAACGTACAACTTCTTCCTCACGTTTTAAGGCTTCGGTTCTTTCCCTGCAGTATGCTGTTTTCAACGACTTGGATTTAGCTCGACTTTACTTGTCTTTGTTCTGAGAATGTTTGTCGAAGGAAAGCTTCAACAGGGCTATATTGCAGATCGTTTAGTAGGCAGGTAACAGTGACAACATAGTCTATGCTAGATCAGACTCATTCGTACGGATTCATCGACACAAAGGAAAGACAGCCTTATAATGAAACCAATCCCTGCTGATTCAGGAATCTTAAGTACAGTTTTAATAATCTCCGTTTCATCATAACCAGGATGCGTTTTGTGCATATCAGTAGCAACATGCTCCCCTTTCTCTCCTAGAGCAGTGAGCAATTTCAGATTTTCTAGAGAAGAAAAATTTGGATTCATATCCGTCGCAAGAACTCATCTAGCAAGTCTCTACTAAGCTAGTGTTTTTCTCATGAGACCTTGTGTATGAATGATCGTTTGGATCCTTGATGTCATAATTTGCCGGCATTGACTCACCATTTCGTGATGAAGCTCTAACCAAAGAGTCTCCGCACCAAAAATAGTGAGCGTCACCTTCAGATAAATAGAGTATCTGGATGAAAAACCTGTTCGATTGGAGGCCAGAAATATTTCCTTGGCAGTGAAGCAAATGTACAGCTTCTGTTCTCGCAACAAACTACACGAAAGTACTGCCTGATTGTAACCTTCTTTGGGTTAGGAAGATGTCCATTTTTAAGACAAGAACCAATTCACAGTTGATGGAATCTGTTGGTGTGGATCACCGATATTATTTCTAAGATCAGACTATTAGTTTCAACAACAAGTTGAATAGTTTATCGCTTTGAATGTCTCCAACAATCTGATTGCTTGATTGAATTTATCACCTTGGTATTGTTAATCAACAACGTCCTTATGGACACAAACCACATCAGAAGGAATTTCGCGTCATAAAGATGGTGTTGTCTGCTGATATCATGCTAACACAAGGACTTCTGTATTTTTCAAAATAAACATTGCTCCATGTGCAACTTCATTCAACCCTGCTTTAACTTTCTGAGCTAAAACCGTACGGACTTTGCAGTGGGAAATGGAGGTTTAGAAGCTTCGATGCGAGGCAACAGTCATAATCTTGGAGCTCATATCTCGCTTTTTCTTCAAGTCCAACAGGAAATGACCATCAAAGGTAAATAAAACTATCTACCTTCGATCAATGCAGGATGAGCTTGTATTATCTTCATCCTCCATTCTGCCTGTGCATTGTCTGTTCAAACGTCTCTTTCTTGCCTCTGTGATTGATTTTGTCGTTGAATATAACTGTAGTTGCTTAAAAATGCAAAATTTAGTCTAAAAATTCAACAAGCGCCAACACCTCCCCACTAAATTTCTCTCAAGGCGGTCAAAGCTCCCTGGTTGCTGAAATTCACCTGAAAGCTAAAGCTGCTCTCTGTGGACGTCAATTTACTCTAATCGGTTCGAAGTTTCCAACGTTTGGCAATTATAATGCCAAACGGAGATTCGCCTCACAAAGAAACCCTTTTGAAACTGGGATCGAGCGTTTGAAGAACGCTTCGTAAACGTAAAGCAAGAGCTGCTGAGGTTGCGTACGTGGAGGCTAGATATCCAACTCAGCTGCGCAGGAATCCCCGACTCAATCCCTTGTCCCACGGCACCTCCTCTACTTCCCACGGCCCTTCCTCGCTGTGCTTTCAGAAGCTTGAGGAAGTGAGTGAAGAATTTAATGTAGGGAGTGGAGAATCCACTATGTATATCTTCATGTGGGAGCCTCCCAAATTCTCTCGCTGTCGGTAGAATTTGGGTTCTTTAAGTAAAGGCCTTTCTTTTTGGTTGCAAGTCAGTAGTCTCAAATATGATATGCCCCTTAAATCGCATCGCATCGTAATAGTTTCACTAACACTGTTACTGTTGTTAGAGTACCATCATCAACACGATACATTGTAAGATCTGAGGAGCACATACGACAACCAGCTACAGCTCACCATCATAGCGTGACTCTTGAGAATGGGAGGAAGAGTTTTAAGAACTACATCTTTGCTACTTGGAAACTTCTTCACCCTTTCCATCAGAGATCCAGTATAGAAGAATAAAACTTTGTAGCTTGAAGTGTTCTTCATCCATAATTTTCCTGAACAACTCTTTGCGAGGCCTCCTATTCTTTGCAGTGTGGAGTCAGTAATACAGATACCTGTGTCCTTGCGTTTCCAAAACGTAGGGTGGTCTGGATCGAAAACCTCTCGAAAATGTACCACTTATGCCAGCAGTAGGGCAGAGTCGTATCAAACGAATTCCGACAAAATAATCGCGCAACTGCGCCACGTTCATGATGATTTTACTTCAAATTTCACTTTCAATTTTATGACTTGAGACTTCAAGAGTCAAGAAAAACGGCCGATCAGAAGAAAACGAAACGTCTGTAGGTCAAGGACAAACAAAGCTGAATCCATTGCTAATATATTGAAGAAGTTAATATCCACCTCTGAAACTTTTATTTTGCACGGCATGAATGCTCAGTGAGTCAGAGACCATCATGCGCTTCTGATTCTGATGAGCTACGTAGTACGCCTCGAACCGTCCTATATTTTGGCTATTATCTGACTGTGGTTTACTGTCGTTTTAGTACAAGCATAACATTGACCACGCGTCTTACAAATTTTGACATCAGAAGTAGAGATGCTGAGATCTTTGGACTTGGACAAAAGTATACAGCAGATATGTGTTCATCGAGTTGTGAAGGACTGTCATGATGCTGAGAAGAATTTGACAGTGGATGCTGGCGATAGGATATTCAAATCTCCAAATCCATCCAATACTGAGGTCTCCTCACAAGCCTAATCTTCTTCTCAACATTTACTTATCTGAATCATCTAATGGATTCTTTGACTCCTCAACCAGAAATTTTACAGCTGAGTTCAAGAGAATAATGCTTCTGGAATGTTAGCAATGAACAATGTCGTTGATATGAAAGTTGTTCGCTCCTAAACCTAAATAAACTTGTAACGTGAAGCACTTCATGTGTAAGATGATTACTGCGGACATTGTTTCAGCGAGAGAACGTCGCTCCGGACCAGATACGTGTCCATATGTTCAGCGACGCTCAACAGAGGCAGCAGACCAGTTCGACACTCTTCAAAAATCTGGAAATATGACCTTTACCTTCACAAGAAGCAGTTTGAAGTTCAGACGCCATTCATAAAACTAAGGATCATGGTATGATTGTCTGAAACAGAAAAGATCCCAGGTACCAAGAGGCAAACACTCATCCTGATTTCGGTGAATCTTGAACGGAGAGATCTAACGAAATCTGAGCTCACTTGGTCTTGTACAGGTTTACATGTCGAACACGTTTCTCGGCGAAGTCAACGTATACTGTGAACTGCTATGTGACACAGTCCTGATGATCACTTCTGAAGATTGTTGCGGTAGAACAGAATTTAGAACACGTACGATGTCAAGCGTACCCTCCGGCACACTTTGTGGCATCTGATCGGGTGGATTTATTAGATCGGCCACCTCTGACTATTGACATTCTTCTCAGCACAATCATATCAACACGCTTTGGAAAAACGGGCCAATCGGAACCTGTTTTTACTGTTCCGATGCAAGATAAAATATAAGCGCAAAATTGAACACAAGAATATCTTTTGAAGATATATCATGCTTTCTAGATCCTCTATTGTATTTAACAATATATCGATGAAAAATATGCATTGCATTCATATGCATAGAATCTACAGCCTCCTCCTTCGGCAGGATTTCTAAAAGCTTTTAGCAATCCTGGTTCTGCTCATTCTTCATTATGTGTCATCATCGTCTCCACTGACTCCTACTTCGAAATTGACTATAGATTTTGCCTTGTGCGAAAGGTAGCAGGTTATTTAACTCACTCTTAATAGTTCTTCACCGACTCCAGTATGATGTACTTCGACCATTATGATAAAAGGTTCTTCACTCTTGATTTTATGTAACTGAAAATCACTTGAAAATCATTTCCCCTTGATTCCGAGATCTGAGCTTTAGGTCAAAGATTGTGAGCTTGATTGTGTACAGGTGTGTGTATACCCATCTTGTGTGTATACCCATTTACCATTTACCATAGTCCGCTGTCTGGGTGAATATGATAATATATTTCTCCAATAATAAAATCTCGACGAAGAGCAGCAGAGAAAGTTCGAGAGTTTTGGTCAAGGCTGCAGCTATGACCGGGCAGTGTACAGACAAAGGGACCCACAATTTGAGCAACTGTAATCGCTTTTCGCAAAACAACTGAAGAGTTAACCAACATCCAGTTGGGAGTTTCAAGCAAAACAATTGCTACTAACCTCTTCAGCAACCGCTTGCACGCTAAAAACGAGGTCATTACAGTCATTGCTACGTAGTGTTGACTGGCAGTTGAGCAAAGTCATTCTCTTTCGGTTGCCGCATTGCCAACCCTGAAAGTTTGCAAATCCAAGAGTGGCAAACTCTCTAGATCAGCCTTGCTAGATCAATACCTTCGCCTTGCAGTTTCCGGAGTGGGAGACGGAGATAGTTTCGTATGGACAAGTCTAGTTTGCGCACTGAACGAAATCAGTTGTGAGGTCAAAGGTTGGTGGACCATATTCCAAAGGCTGAACATGAGCTTGGCCCATTGTGCAAAATTGCTACTAACTCGTCACAACATGGTCATGATTGACACTTGGATGACGAATCTGGACTCGAGTAGATCCGAGGTTTGACCCCATCATATCATGAAACCAAAGGCCACAGGTCAGCGGAGATATTCAATCTCGGCAAGCAGCACTCACAAATGATTTTGTGCCGCGAACTCCACTTCGATGTATATTGGTGGGGCATCAGGCTCTAGAGCTGTGCTATGGGCTGACACAAAGTCGGAACGTCGAAGTCGTGAATGTGCAAGAAACTCTGTGCAAAATATCTCGTTGGCAATACGCCCTGTTATTAACGGATTTGTCTGCAATGATCAGAAGATCTCATGAAAATTCACGGGAATGTACACGTATCTAAAGCGACAAACCGTGCAGTACGTCGAGGATGAGCAGAATTTTCTATATATTCCTGCTGCACCAACAGGACTGCAAACAGCTTTACACGGCTAAGAGAGAGTTTGCATGATGCACTTTATGCTTTTCCCTTGCACCAACTTCGAGGCCCTAGAGATGCTTATCACTGCATTCGTACTAGTTTCTTGTACGAATAACTCCTTTGGCTTCATATACATATATCTATTTA